TTGAGAGCTAACATACAAAAATATACTATTTTTAATCTTAAAATGATTTAGAGCAATCTCATTTGATTACAAAACGTACAACACGCGACAATTAACTCTCAACATATAACTTGGTTAACTACAATAAAGTCAATTTGACTTTAATAAATTAAATGTCATTATAATATTTTAAATTAGAGCAACAAGTTCACTTTCCTTTGAATTCAAAGAAGAAACTTTAAAAATTTGATTACAGGAACAAACTGATTCTAGTACGTGCTAAACATAATTTGCTTTACTCTATTATAATTTTGCAAATATGAATCCGTTCATAGATCATTTACTGATGTAACTATTCTAATATAATTGGATTAATCCTTAAAGTTAGAAAACACTCGAATCAATCGTACACATCAATCGTAGTACATGATTTAATTACCTAACAATCAGAATGAGTTTACACCGGCACGTGATCAAACTCGTGTCATAATAACACCGCACGATGAGAATTCGCACAAAAATCTACCCAATGCAGAATCACTAGATACAGTCGCAATGTATTCCTCGCAACACCGCTAAATTATTATCGATCCCGATCTCGTCTGCGAAAGTGTTTTAATCGCGCATTCCGATGATCGCTTTTTATCGCGTCGAAAGGCAAAACGTCAACTCGCGTATGCGTACGGGATACATATAACTCGTAATTTTTGTCTGTTACAATCGAACCGCGTTCGCCGCGTTCAGACGAGTTAGACGGTGTAGGAGGACGTCGAGGCTGCGGAGGAGAGGAGGTAAAGGATGTCAGACATAAGGATTATCATCGCCCGAGTTCGCGGCTGGGCGGACGCGCTGTCCGTCGACACGACGGCACGTGCGCGAGACGTCGACCAGCGACGACGATTGGTCGACGGGCGGGGCCGGATTTCATGATCCTCGCAGGGATCGAACGAGAGCGCAACCCCACGATCGAATCGGTAGCTTCCTGTCTCCCCTCTCCACATGGTTTTGCCTGACAAGAGCACGAAAGTCAATTCGCACGACTCTTGCTGGCTTCTCGCCGACTAATCGCCTAGAGCTGCCAGGGTCGAATGGCGTTATCGAGCGAATCGTATGAAAGAGCGAGAAGGAGAGGTATAGAAGGGAAAAGTGCGGAGGAAATTTATTTTATCTTGAAATCGAATTCTTTTCAGCACACGAAAATAATCACATATATGTAGATGCAAAAAGAGGAAATAGAGGAAAAAAAGTACAAAGTAATATAAATAAAAAAAAAAATAATAAAAGTAATAAAAATGAAAATAAGTTAGAGAAAATTTGAAGATTTCTCGTTAACATAAAAATCTGGAATCACAGAAAACTTTGACTTACAAGATTTATAAAGTAAATTTTTAGTAGTTAAAGATTTAGTAGCCGGAAATATTTCAATTCAGTCGATATCAAATATTATTCGATTTCTGGAATTCATAATCCGATTTTATATTCAAGATTGTAATTAAGTACGATTTTAAATTTATAATTACGATCTAGGCAAAGATTTGGCAATTCTAAATCTATGTAGCATTTTAAAATTATATTAAAGATGATATTATGATATAAGACTGTGAAAATTATTCTACAAGTCGACGTGTATTAACTAATGTTCTTTACAGGAAAGCATCTTTAGTTTATTGATCACTTTACATAATTTCCGATTCAAATTATAGATCGATTGGTTGATTGATTCAGACTCTGGATTGACTTCGGCGAATATTAATCCTTAAATGAAGATTTGACGGACCTTGTTGTGGAATACGATTTCTGTTACCGTATGTTAGGAGTAACTGTGACATCTGGCAATTTCTCACGGCGCGGCGACGTTACGGTTACGCAAGACAAGCGTAATGGCATACAGTATTTCCTGAATATTTTATTTATTATTTCCCTGGAAATCAATGATCGCCATCTCAGAGGCATATGTATGCGATCAGACCGTCGTCCATTAGATATTTTATGCATGATCCATACTTAGGAGACTTGTGAGCTTCCTTGAGATTTGCAAACTTAATCTCGAGATCCAAAAGAAAAATTTATCATTAAACAATGATGTTATTACATTTTAGGATTTTAGTACAGGAAAAGTTTTTCATACATTTTAATCATTTGTAATTAAGGAATTGCTCAATTAACTTCTAGAGAAGTTTCTTTATTTAGAACTAATTTCTTTTTTATCAAATTTATCAATAAGTGCTGCAGGTATACAATTTTCCTTAAAAATCTTAGATATATGTAAACATAAAAATATTTAACTTTAAAAACTAATTAAAAAATTGTATGTAGGTGTTGCGTAGATATTCAGTATAAATAATAAACAAATCAGTAAAATTTTTGTTTTATCAATATTTTAATATGAATCCTACGTGTCTTTATTTGAATGTCTAGTTTCACACTATTTACGGAATTGGGTTATTTAAGGATAAGATTGCAGTTTACTTTTTTCGTGAGTTATTTATTGGTGTCCCTTAAAAAGAGAAAATAAAATAAATAGACCACTTCGAAGGAAATTAAAGATCGAGTTAACGGTGACAGCATCGAGTACACGGAGCCATCGGGCTCTCCCGGCGTTAATTTCAACACAGAAAGGTCGTTCTGGAGGGTGAAAAGAAGCAGGTCTGCGTTTGATAGCTCGCGGGATCCGCAGTAGATCCTCGAGTACCTCCTCAATACGGCGGCGGGAGCAGAAAATCGCGCTGAAGTGGTAACGGGTCGGGCTAATGGCTCGGAGACGATATTTTGTTAAACAAGGAAACCTTTTATCCCCCCTTTCTTTACCGCGCTTCGCAGGAAGACACTCGACGCCAGGGACGCCGTTTCCTCCAGCAGGACTATCACTGCTGCTTTATCACGACGAACATCGAAACTTTTATATCTGTTATGAAGAACATTTAAAATATACCTTAATTGTTCAAAAAACGTTTTTTAAATACGTTTCTGCTGGATTTTTGTCTGATTTATGGTAGGTATATTTTCAAACAATTGCATTAAGAGAAAAGTAAAATTTCTAAATTTTTTGTGACTTTTGATATATTTATTAATATTCTATAATATACTTTTTTCGCTTACATTTTTATCATACGCTCTTTATATTTTAACTAATGTGATATATGTTTTGTAATTATATATATTTTAATATTATATTTTAATATATTTATATATTTTATGTTATTTATTATAATATAATATTAAATTTGGTTGTTCAACTTCGCAAAAAATTTTGAGCAACACAGCGTTAGAACTTTAGCGCGTTCGTTTTTACGCTAAAAGCGGCCCTGCGCCGTTACTTCAGTTGTCTTGTCACCGGAAAAAGAACGAGCTCGAAGTGTGAACCGCCAACCGCCATGACAAGATATCACCTGCGATTTCTCACGGTTCGCCCACGCATATCTCGCCATTCTCGCAGATTCCTTCGATCCGCCCTATCTTTCACTCGAATCTTTTCACACTTCCGTCCCCTCGCCGAGAGCCGATAAATGTAACGTCGTCGGCTAGCTTAACACTCGATGAAGAAATTTCCGTCGATTTTTTCATCGACTATTTTAAATCTACTTAATTCCTATGTATTAATACTTCAACAAAGTATTGAGAGATATAAAATAAAATGGATGTATTATGTGAAATTTACGCCTTGAAAAATAACCATTGAAATCTATGTTTATTTATTTTTAATGAGCATATTATTAAGTAATGCAATGTATTCTCGAAATAAATCACTAAACTGTAATAATGTTCTTTATCTTGAAAATGAAATGTGATCAAATAATTATAAGAAAATACATCTTTTCTGAAATAAATTATCTTTTATCTATGACAGAGTTTTACAAACACGTCTAGAAAATTTGTAGAAATTTTTGGAGAAGAATTGATAATGCTTTTTTTTTAAAAGAAAAAGAAATTTGATAGGAATTACTTTTTCTCGTAGCGATACACATTTTACACATCGATATTTCCAATACAGATTAATAATTTACATACCTCAACATATAAATTTTAATTATTATTTCTATCGTTACAAAGAAGAAATGAACAAAAAAAGCTACCGTGTGATATTAATTCTTTCTCACACAAGAGTTAAAAAAATATGATTAGAAATATATCCTGTACACAGTTATACATTGAAGTAGTAAGAGAAAAGAAAAAATTGCAAAAAATAGTGGTTCCGGCCGGGATCGAACTGGCGACCTTCTGCGTGTAAAGCAGACGTGATAACCGCTACACCACGGAACCAACTTGCTTTACTTTTCTTAAATTTGTCACTCCTGATTAGATAATATTAATAAAATAAACTGGTTTGAATCTTAATTGAGTATATTTTTTCGATAGAGTATATTTTTTCTAGATTTTCTAGATTTTCTAAATGGAGTATGACTCTCTCTTTTTCTAAAGTAAGGTTTGAATTCGACTAATATAAGTGGTTTCAGTTCGTAATACATATTTCAAAATTACGTCTACATAAATTATTTACGTAGTGATGTTTTAATTATTTTTCTAATAACAATGTAAGCTATATAGCTATCATAAAATTAATAATTATATATGATATGATAACAATAAGAAAAAAATAACTTATACAAAAAAATAATTACGTAATATTAATTGTATAACAAATGTTGTGTAACATTATAAATGTTTTAATATAATTAAAGTTTATAAATCATTATTAAAATGGTATTGTAACACATGATACATTTAGAAATGAAAGAAAAACTTTAATATGTTATGCTTTATTTGTAATATTGTTTACACAGATTAATGGATTTACTTAATATCTTAAAATATTTTAAAATATTGAAAAATATTGTAAAAAGTCGGTACATAAGATGTTAAAATATTTGACATAATATAAAATCCATAATAATTTTACAAATTTGCGTTAATTTTTTGCAAAATTATCTAAGATGATAAATCGACAGATCAATCAAATTTATGCATAAAACAAATTGTATACTAAATTGCATTTTTTCAATATTAATTAAACGATTCAGTAACGCACAAATTAATGTAATAAGTTGAAAAATCAAAGTAAACCAATCAATTATACAGTTTCAGCGTATACATCTTTTCTCTATAATGACTAAATCGAGATGTAGTAAAGATTCGTTAAGTCAATTAGCTTTTCTTACATATTAGAGATCATGTTTCTGCACTTATTTTTATACCGAGAAGAGATAAAGTAAAAAAAGTATAAAAAATTATTGCGTAATTAGTTCATTTGTTTACTTGAAACAGGCCGGACCGACCACGAAGCCGAATGTTTGATGTGGTAATCCGTAGTCAACCGGATAAAAATCGATTAACGGCAATTGTTGCGGGTTCTTAGTATGAACTAAAAACACGGTCTCGGTTTTACCACTCCGGTTTTTACAGCCATCTACAAGGACTTGCATTTTAAAACCATTGTATGAAAACTCATCGTCATTGTCGCCAAGTAATCGCAGCGAGAGATCGTAGCCATTATTCGGGTTATTGCTATTGTACCAAGCAACACTGTTCATACACGTGTATGTAAAGTTTTGATAGACTTCTTGACTAAGTAGCTGCAGAAAATTCATCTGCACTGCTCCAATTGTCTCGTAAGTTATCTGAAAACATGGTTATTCTTATATAAGAGCTAAAGTTTTCGCGTGCATATTATGTATTTTGTATTTTATTTACTTATGTCATTATTTATTAACAAAAATTTTTTGACAATTGCCGAGGTGATAGAGTTTTGAACGTAAAATAAATAAATTAACATTAGATAATAATAATATATTAGTAATAATTTACAACTAAAAATGAAATTGCCATGAAATAGAGATATTAGAAATAGAAAGTTAAATCTTTAACTAAATAAAGTTAGGATAAATATCTTACATATAATTTTTACAGCAATATTAAGCGTTACAAAAACTAGAGAATTCTGCAAGATATATTATCGTTTTTTTATCTATCTATATTTCTAATTAGTTTAAAAATTGTAAAAATAATGTAGAAGTAACACTTTGGAGACAAAAAATTGCATTAACTCTTACTTTGAATCCACCTCGTAAACGTGAATACCAGTCATTTTTATTATTTTCCTTCTTCCATGGTATATTCGGCATCTGACTACTGTGAATATCGGGAAAAATGCAGGTTTCACCCTTGTTCGAAATGTTGCAATACACGTAGATAGCATCATCAGGCATGCCCAAATTTGGATCAATCCAATACCAGCCTGTACAAAGTATAATAAATTTTTAATTCTTTACAACAGCTTTCTTCAAAATTTTGTAATTATAATTATAATTATAAACCTTTCTCATCAAAAATTTAAAATAAAATTATAGTTTTTATAATAATACAAACTTAACAAAAATTTATATCGAGAATATAACACACATTAATAAGTTATTAGATATAAAGTAACATATAATATTTCCTTCCTAACAAAAAATTTTTTATATTATTTTAATCCTCAAAAAACTACGAATACATCACACTTTAAAATACTCTGATTTGATATACGATTTAAAAGTTTATAATAGCGAGCTTACCATCTTCAAAATTGGAGTGTCCATAAAATAAATCTCTGCATGTTCTCACCGGATAGTCTCTGGTACCAGTTGGTCTACGCCTTTGATCCAATTCTTGTTGTATATTGAAAATCGATGCATATATGTCTAAAAACTTCGTATCAAATTTCTCTTCTTCATTCCTAAATACATTAAAAATATTTAATGCGACAAGTCATATATTAAAATTCTAAATTATGTATTTACCCTAATTTTATATATTTATATATAAAATCTCTTTATAATTTTAGAATTTAAATTAATTGAATAAAAGCTAATATTTTTTGTAATTGTAATTTAGGGTAAATACGTAATTTACAATTTTAATTTTAGATCGAATCATATAATATTCATACATATTTTCTGAAACGTTGCGTTTTCTTCTACTCGACTCATTTTCTCGAAGCAGCAATGACGGAATAATGTCGCCGAAATTGAGCTGCTCCAGTGAGCTAGATGGTCCTGGTAAACCCGGCGGACCAGGCGGGCCTGGCGGACCTGTATTACCACGCATTCCATCATTTCCAGCGTTTCCTTTAGGTCCAGGCAAACCTGGCACTCCAAGAGGACCGAGCGATCCTTGTTCCCCTCTAAATCCAACTGGACCTGCAGGTCCAGAGTTTCCCTTCAATCCTTCCGGTCCTGGCACTCCACTCTCGCCTTTATTTCCCTTCTCTCCTTGATCACCCTTGATACCGACGTGTCCTAGGTCACCCAAGTGTCCTTTGTTTCCTCTGCGACCTCGGTCACCTTTCGGACCCTTCGAACCAGCCGGTCCGATAATTCCAGGAGCACCAACGGCACCTGGAATACCCGGACGACCGCTTTCTCCAGCTACTCCTGGCAAGCCTCTTTCTCCTGGCAGACCAAGCGTTCCAGGCGGACCTTGAGACCCGATAGGTCCTTGAAGTCCCGGTGCTCCAGCCGGGCCCGTATCTCCTTTTTCTCCGGGCAAACCTGTGTTACCTTGTTGACCTGCCGGGCCTTCTGGACCCTGAAAATTCAAAATAAAATTAGTGGATACCTAAAAATTAATAAAATCACATAAACATAACTCTTACTAATGCACAGATAATTAAAATTTATTTTTTATGTTATTAAATGTTTAGTTTGATATTTTATAAGAAATAGTAAGTGAAAGAAAAAGAGAGAGAATCCTCTAACGTCAAAAGTAGACACAAATTGTTTAGAAAATAATAAATTTTATTTTGATATTTTTGGAGGAGTTTGCACAATAAATAAATTAAATTTCTCATACGGATTTTCCATGAGGACCCGGTAATCCTTCCTTGCCAGGTGGCCCAGCTTCACCTGGTATGCCTGGATCGCCTGCTCGACCCTCTTCACCATCCTTTCCAGGTTCGCCTTTTTCACCTATGAGACCAGGTTCTCCGGGCGGACCAGGAAAACCAGGTATTCCAACATCACCTTTCGGTCCTTCAAAACCAATCAGTCCTCGTGGCCCGGGTGGTCCGGATGGTCCTTCCTTGCCGTCATCTCCTTTCGCTCCCGAAGGACCTTTTTCTCCCTTAAATATGATACAAAAATTCTACATAAGTAAAAATGTTTAATTATATTAAAAATTTTTATTTCTATTATCGTACTAAATACATAAAATATACAATTTTTTTAAATTTTGATTTTAATTAGATTAATATATTAACATTAATATATTACATTTCAGATTTGGTTATTTTTTTATCAATTTTACAACATATCCAATGCTTGTCAAAATTAAATAATTTATTTGATTTTTTGTTCCGTGAAGTTTCCAACTATTTAAATAATTACCAAATCACATCGTCCCCATTACCAAATATTTGGTAATAATTACCAAATCACATCGTCGCCATCACCAAATATTTGGTAATAATTACCAAATCACTTCGTCCCAATTACCAAGACGTTTCTCCAGTGCAGTATCCAGCAAAATGGCGGCCACTGGATACTGCACTGAGTGAGACGAAATGGGAACGCAGCCATAGTTTGATAGCTTGATAGCGAAGGTTATTTTGACGGTTATTTAAAATGAAAAAAATTTATCTAAATATTTAGATTTCCTAATTATTAAATTATTATAATAAGTGCGCGCGCGTAGCGCGCGCCTGTATTGTTCTAGTAATAATAAAAAATATATTACAATGTATAATTTTTTACCTGTTTGCCTTCTATTCCTGGTGTACCAGGATGTCCTGGAATTCCACTGTCTCCTTTTTCACCTTGGCGACCCTCCGGACCTGGTGGACCAGGCGCACCTTTATGACCTCTCGGTCCTGTTCGACCTTGTTCTCCTCGAACACCTGGTGGTCCTATAGGTCCAGCCGCTCCAGGATCTCCAATTTCACCTTTTTCTCCTGGAAACCCCGGTAAACCAGACAATCCTGCTGGTCCAGCCGGTCCAATTGCTCCGATTAAACCGTCCTCGCCTTTTGATCCTCGCTGTCCAATTTCCCCTGATAATCCTTTTTCGCCGGAAGGACCCGTTAAACCAGGCTCACCACGTAGTCCTTGTGACCCTTGTGGACCCGCCGGACCCTTATGTTATAATTGCAAAATTAAAAAATTTATTTGCATGTAAGTTTGTTTTATTTATGTTTAATTACTTTATTGTACCGTTTCTCCTTGAGAGCCTTTGAATCCTTTCTCTCCTGGTGGGCCGATATTTCCTTTATCGCCGTCTTCGCCCGGAATTCCAACCGGTCCAGGTGGACCCGGTAAACCGCGTTGTCCTGGTAGACCGTCATGACCTGCAGATCCAGGCAGTCCAGACTCACCCTGTTCAATCGCGAAAAAAATTTTTTATTATATATTGTTTAATATTTTACTATTATATTTCTATGATTACATATAGAAGAAAGAATAATATAATATAAATTCTCTATTTTGCTAAGAGTTCTTTTATATCTTTAATAGTTTTTTAAATATTTGGTTGATAAAAAAGTTTGTTACGCAATTTTACAATTTCAGAATTTATATTATATTATTCTTTCTTCTTTGAATAATTACTTTTTCGCCTTTAAGTCCGATGGAACCCTTTTTTCCTTTAGATCCTTGTTTTCCTTCCAAACCTGGTTGCCCGTCTTTACCAGGATCACCCTGAGCACCTTTATCGCCAGACGGTCCTTGAGCTCCGACAGGTCCTATCTCTCCTTTGGAGCCGGGTATTCCCTAAAATTTATACTTTATATATACTTTAAATATTATATATTAAATAACATGTGTATAATGTTAAAAAATTTGGATATAAAGATTTATTAATAAATCTATAATTTCGTAAATTTTATTTTAAACAGAACTAACCGGTGGACCGCTCAGTCCTCTTTCGCCCGGAAATCCTGGCAGTCCAATAGAACCTGGTGATCCTTTCGGTCCCATCAAACCGGGCGGACCCGGCAGTCCCTCTTTTCCTTGTTCACCTGGTGGGCCAGTTTCTCCAGGAAGCCCCGGATTACCAGGTGCTCCAGGTTCACCTGGCGGACCCGATTCTCCAGTTGATCCTTGAGGACCGATAACACCGGGACTTCCCGGAAGCCCTGCGGGTCCGGTTTCTCCTATTGGCCCGCGCTCGCCAGGTGGTCCTGATACACCATCCTTCCCGTCAAGACCTGGTGGGCCCGGCAGTCCTATAAATCCGCGCAAACCTTCAACACCAGGAGAGCCGATTTCGCCTGATGATCCTGGTGGTCCTGGCTGACCGGTGTCACCCTTTGGTCCTGGCAATCCTTCCGCGCCTCTTCTACCACGAGTTCCTCTAAAACCCTGTACAACATTAATTTAAATTAATTGATATTATTGATATATCAGCTGTTAATAGAAGTGTTAATAAAAGAAGTTATTATTATTGAGAAATAATTTGGCATATTTTTGAAAACCCATCTTGTCTTGTTTTAGCAAGATGCCATCGCTAGAGATGCTTATGTATACGTTAGTTTATGAATGTATACATGGTTTCTCCTTTTTATATTTTAAGAGGAGAACAAAAATTAGTTATAATCTTTTTGATAGAATTTTTATTAACCACTGTAATATAACTATTAGCATCAACCAGCATATTTTCCATTGTTTTATAAGTATTCTATGTAATGCATAGCAAATAATCTTTTCAACTCTAGTGAAAATAATATTAAAATTCACTAGTAAATTTCTTGCTAAAGCATAGTAACTCTTTATTTATAAACAATGTCTGAATGTTGCTTTTTAGAAACTTTTTAATGATTAAAATAAAATAATTTCTTACAATTATAATATTATTTTATATTTTACATTGACAAAAATTTATTATGTTGAGATATTTTATATTAATTAACTCGTAAAATATTTCTAATAGAAAATTCAGGAAATTAGTGCGTAAAAATTCAGAAGTGTGAAAAGTTATATTGCAATAAAAATTTACCCTCGGTCCTAATTCACCACGTTCTCCCTGCAATCCGCTGCTTCCCTACAAAAAAAAGAAAGAAATAATATTTAACAAAAATCAATACTGAAGATTATACATTTTCTATTAATATCAACAAATTACTCTTTCTCCTTTATCGCCGCTAGAGCCTTGTGCTCCCGATTGCCCTCTATCTCCTTTCTCTCCAGGATTTCCAGGATATCCGGCAAATCCAGGCATGCCTATCTTCCCTTTTTCGCCGGGCGGGCCGGCAGATCCAGTTTCACCACGAGGCCCTTCGAAGCCCTTAGATCCTTCCAATCCTTCAAGGCCTGGAATTCCTTGCGGCCCCGGTACTCCAGGCTCACCTTTTGCTCCAATGTCACCCTTTTCTCCCTCCAAACCTCTCTCGCCCTTTTCACCGCGTTCGCCCGGCGAACCACGCTGCCCGTCATCGCCTTTCACACCCCGTACACCCGGAAAGCCGACTGGACCCTGCGGTCCTAATGGTCCTTGTTCACCTTTCACTCCGGGTATTCCAGGATTACCCGGAAGACCAGGAGATCCGTCTGCACCCGGAAGACCAGGAATACCAGGCTTACCTTGTGGACCCTTTTGATAAAATGTAATACAGATATTTAAAAAATTATAATGCCAAAGCTTTTAATTTTTTTTTAAATTAAAACAGTTTAAAAATTTTTTAAATTAACAGATAATACGTAATTTCGAAAACATGTTATATATTTTAATGCATTTAATATTTCTCGAAATTGCTGAAAAATTGATTGACTTGTAAGATTAAGAAACTATAAGTAATTAGCAAACTGTATAAAATATTAAGAATGTAAAAGGCAAAAAATTATATACAATATAAAATCTTTAACATCGGTATTAGCAAAAGCTTTCAGTATTCTTTAGCTTACAACTAAACCAATTGGCCCTGGTGGACCTTGAAGCCCAAGTGGTCCTATCGGGCCTGCAGGCCCAGGCTGACCCGGAGCAGCGGGTGGACCTGGTGGACCAGTGTTTCCTTTGGCACCTGGTGGGCCTTCGTTTCCAGAAACACCGGGATTACCTGGTAGTCCGGGGAAACCTCTGGGCCCAATAAATCCTCTCGGACCCTATTAAATATGATATTGAAAATGTTTTTACTTTCTCTCTCTCTCTCTATTTCTCTATATATATTATACATATAACAATGCTTTTAATATACCATTTCACCAGGTAGACCCGGCAGACCAGGGGGACCGTCTTCACCTTGCATTCCTTCATGGCCTGGTAAACCTGGCTCGCCGGGTATTCCCGCAACTCCCCGTTCGCCTTTATCACCAGGCAGACCAGGCAATCCTATCGGTCCTTGTTCGCCCTTTATTCCTGGTGGCCCACTGAGACCACGTTCACCGTCTCGGCCAGGGCGACCCCTTCTACCCTCTCTGCCAGGATTTCCAGGACTTCCTGTGAAAAATCTATTGCTTTTACTCTTATGAATAATAAATGAATTACAAGGAAATCAATCAATAATTTATTATGCAAAATTTAATTATTCACAAGACTTTTATTAAAAGTAAATTAAAGAAAAAAAATATAAAAATTAGGATTCGATAATTTTGCAGAATAAATTTCTGTATTTAACGCTTTTAGCTCTCTCTTCGGTTTTTTCTATAAAATTCATACTTATTATTCCGTACCTATTTCCCCTCTAGGTCCAGATTCGCCGATGTCGCCGGGCTCTCCTTTTTGACCCTGAAGTCCAGATTGGTCCCTGAGGCCCCGGAATGCCCGTGAGGCCCATCGGACCCTCTATGCCTCTCATCGCGAGCATGTGCTGCGATATCATTTGGCTTAGCATTTCGGTCAACGAGTCTGGTCCTTTTTCGTTGCCTTGTCGACTCAACGAGGGTATCACAAAGACATTACCTGGCGGACCGGGCACACCTTGCTGTCCAGGAAGTCCATCATGACCTTGTTCGCCTTTCCTTCCTGGAGGCCCGGGTGTTCCCGGCGGTCCGGGAAATCCACGAGGTCCTGATGGGCCTCTAATAATATAATCTTGTTTATTATGCGTTCTACGAAGATGTTCTTCATCGTAAGAATCAATCGTTGGTATTCTATAATTCTGTTGATTGTTCCATTCTGTTCCATTGTAAGGATCAATTGTCGGTATTCCATAATTCTGTCGATAGTTCGAATCCGTTTCATACACAAATGCAGTTGTCGTCGTCGTTTCTACTTGATAAGGTGTCTGAAGTATAGAATATGAGATAAAAATGCTTACATAACTATTTTGATATATAAATATAAATAATTTTATAAAATAAAAAAGTTTATAATATTTGTGATATCTTGTTAAGCTAATCAAAACTATAATTTTTATAAGTATGTACAGAAAAAAAATTAATATGATAATTGAATCCAATTTCGAGATATTTTTATGACTTTTGATAGGTTTTTTATTAATTTATTCATTCTTACGGGATGTTCTGTTGTAGAATTATGAGACAAAAGGTAGAAATCATCTTTATTCGAGCCTGTCTCGTTTTTCTTTTCATAATTATCTCCGTTAATGTGCAAAGAAGAACTATAATCCAACCGTGATAAGTATTTACAGTTTGGCGCAAATGCAGTGCAGATTTCATAAGCTGCATCTGGATTTGGAGCAATCATCAGCATCTCGAGACCTCCCTATTTAAATAACAGAATAATAAAAAAAGATTGTATAAAATAAATGCTTTATCAATCCTTCTAATTTTAGCAAAACCAAAATTTATTTTTGGTTTAATATCGTTGCAACTTTTTTGCTCACCAAATACAAGTCGCCGCTAAGTTGCTGCCGGATCATGACGATCCCTGTAATCATTTTCTTCTGATTTCTTTGTAGCTTCTTTGTGATATGTCTGTCGCAATCGAGAATAATTGTAACGGAGTCACCTTTGATGCTAATTCCCAATCGATGCCACTCATCATCAGAAATATCAACGCCAAAAGAAATCGACGTTTCCTCGTCATCCGAATCGATGCCGTAAAGGATATTGATATCGCGACCCAATGAAAGAATCAATTGTTCTTTGTTGCTATAATCGTAGATGGTGAGAAGTGGCGCGGGGTCATCTACAGACATTTAAACAATTTTCTGTTTAATGATGATCTTGTTAGTGCAATTTTTATAAGATTTGGCAACCGTTTAAACAACTTCAAAACTCAAGAAATATTTTTATACTGTGACAGTTCAATTAGTTTTGTAAGAATAGAAAAATTGACAATAATTTATTGTGTATAAAATATCTATCAGATGCGTGCAAAAGTTTGTCAGATAATTGATTATATTGCTGTTTTGCACACAATCGCACACCGCACAATTTCGCGGCATTGTGTGTGTCTATTAATAATGTTAAATAATTAAACACACTTACTGTATTAAATGCGTCAGATGCATAAACACAGGGTTTATTGAATTATAATTAATAATATTGTTATTATTAATAGCATTTTCATTAAAGTAAAGATAATAAATAATTATTATTGTATTGACTCACTAGCTTCTGGCTTTGCAACAATTAAAATAGAGAAATCCCGTGGTAAACCGGACGGAAATAGCGAACTAATAGGAGCCATCAGGGTTGTGGTTTCCGAAATATTGTATGCAAAACTGCTATTTCTACAACGACTTTGCGTTGTCGTCACGGAAGGTTCCTCTTGTATTCTTGTGGCTTCGATTAAATTCCCAACGTACTTTGCTGAAATAAAATTACAATTAAACTAAAAAAATTATGTTTAAATGAGCTCGTGAAACTTCGTTGTAGCAGCCAGTGAACCGTATTTATTTGAAATTTTTCTGTTGCTCTGAATCTTTTCAAATTATTTTTATAATATTCTATAGTTATACTCTCTTGTAGAAATCGCTCATTAATAAACATAGATTTTATTTCAAAAACATTATCTACTTGATCCTTTTAAACTTCTTAATATAAATCATATATTTATCTTTTCTTTTTTTGTATAACGATTAAATAACTAGCACAAGAGTAAATATAGAAACGACTATATAGATACAATAGGCATAACGAACGACTAGAAACCTAATAACCCATGAACCCACTGGTTGTAACTCAAATTGTTTGAATGAACGTCTGGAATTAATTCCAGAAAATGCCACTCGTCTGCAACATGCAACTTTGCATGCAACATATATGTGTGTTAATTGGCGCAATAGACATTATTTAGAAATAGATTGACCGATAATAAATTGAAAAGTGGTATTTCAGCATTCTGGCCAGACGTATAGAAAGATATTTCTGTATTCAATTATATTGAATTGTATTAATATTGTTCGCGGAGCATGTTCATTAAAAAATATAAATAGCATTTTAAATAATAGCAAAAAGCATAATTATTAAAAGAAAATTTATATTTAAACAAATGACAATAATTAAAAATATTAGAAGCTGATATAAACTCAAATTAGGCTTCTCTTATTGTTGAAATATAAATTAAGAACATAATGTTAATTAATAGACGATTCTCAGTGCTCGAATATTTTGTTAAGAGAGAATTAATTCCAAATTAACGAAAACAAATTGTTAACTACAATGTTAAAAGCGGAATATTTTATTAATATTTTATTAATATATTTCGTACCAATTTATACATATTGCATATTAACTTGCTTACTCATATCTCGCAGTGTGATATCCGCCGTTGTTGGCTGAAGACCGGATGTAATCAATATTAGAAACAGTAGCTGGACAAAATACATAATCCACGAGGGTTGCGGCATTCTCCATTGCCATTTCACGTTGTCTCGTGCCCGCATGGTATCTTCTTGTCATCAGAACATATTTCCTTGAATTTTCGAAATGCTTTATACACTCGCGATACACCGACTATCCGCAGACCAAGATCGCCAGGCATGCAACACCACAAATCCACGGTTTAAAAAACCCCTTCTCTTCTTTTTATTATTACTTTGATTCTTTATCTTTCCAGTCAACATTCCCTATTCTCCAGATTGACATAATACTTTAATGAATACTCAAAAATGTATTATATTCTTTCTTTTTTTTTCACCAAATCTCTCTCTCTCTCTCTTGTAATCTGCTTGTCCCTTTGACAACCTAGTTTCCTCGTCTTGTAATGCAAGCATACTATACATACGTACGCATGCAACTGTCGCTTAGATGACGCGTACGCATTCCGCACATATGCTTCTTAATGACGATTCCGCATCTCTTTTATTGACACTGATTCGTACAGCGCATGGCAAATCGTTAGCAGGGCGATGTAATTGTTGAATTAAAAAATTTATTGCTTTTATAATAATATTGAAAATATAGGTATCAGTTGTTTGCAAAAGTAATTAAATTGTAAAATATATCTCTTATCCTGCAAATTTCTATAATTACATATTTTTAAGATAAGAATTTTGTCGAAAAACTTCTGCGAATTATTTTTTCTTTCTTTAATTTTAATTCATGTAAAAAAATTATTTTTTTATTTTACTATAATTGCCTATATTTATAGAAATATTTAAAAAACATTCTGTACACATCGATAAATATAGTGGTCAATGACCGAAGCATTACGTACTCATATAAACATTTAACGTCTTATATCTTCATTGATTACGTACATTTTGATTAACATCTCAATAGCTTTCCTTCTCTTGAGTGCGTCACATGAAAACTTGATATATTTAAAAAAGTTTTGATCTTATTTTGATTAATAAGTTTTATTTCTATTAATAATTAATCAATGATTTCTATTTTTATGAATAAGTCATCAAAGTTCTTTAAACTTAGCATATCTTATACTTTGTATAGAAATCTTTATTATTTTAAAACATATATTGCTTCTTTAATTTTTTTTAGATATGTTGGTATTTGTATATATTTTAATACAATTATTTATAACTTGTAAAAAATAGATTTTGATAATAACAATACATAGCAATACAATTTTATTATTTAATTAACATAAAAACAAAAATTGTTAACAAAAATTTATTATAATTTTTTAAATATTGAAATAATTAAAAGAAAAGTTCAAGCAAAGAAAAGTCTGATTTATCATTGAGTTGTATTACTTATTTTATTCAGTAATGCGATTCAATGTCAAATCAAATGAATGTTTCTTAGACGCGATGAGACGTCCATTGGCTCCTAACAGTACATACTTTCTCTACATTGCCTACAACCAAAAAATCAACTCTTTAATGTTTGTAGTATATGTAGTGATGGAGTTTATCAACTGTTGATATTTTCACGAATAAGATTATGATCGCTACTATCAGATGGCTTCATAACATAGCACGTGTATTTATGTACGAAAATGTGCGATTTCTCTGGAACACACTGCAGCGTTTCTCTAATTATATTTGTTTTCTGTATTTATTGATGTTCATCTTATAACATATGTACTGCATGTACATATAATCATAAAAGCAAGGTAGAACGCAGAGAAAAATAAATGACAATGGCTGATAAAAAGAAGGTGAAGGCTTACGTGAAGAAAAAACGTACACCTCAGAGTAAGATAATTGAGGAGTTACAATCTAAATATAATACTGTAAGTATATAACATTATTCACAATATTATACTGATTTATAACTTGTACCATACCATATATAACTTGTGACGATTCAAAAATAATTGCAACGTGATTATAGATAGACGTTGCAAAGGCAATAAAGTTCAGCAATCTTCCTTTATCAAAGAGTACTCTGAAAGGTTTAACGGAAAATAATTATGTTGAGATGACGGACATCCAGAGACAAAGCATTGGTTTGGCCTTGCAGGGCAACGATATTTTGGGAGCTGCAAAGACTGGTAGCGGCAAGACACTGGCTTTTCTTATTCCAGTATGAATCATATGAATCTCTCATGTTACTAACTAAAGTTATGATATTTAATTGACAAATGTTTGTGTCAGGTTTTAGAAATTTTATACTGCAAACAATGGACAAGATTAGATGGTTTGGGAGCATTGGTTATTACACCAACAAGAGAATTGGCATATCAAATATATGAGACATTGCGAAAGGTGGGTCAGTACCACGATATATCAGCTGGTTTGGTTATAGGAGGAAAAGATTTAAAGTTTGAGAAAAAACGCATGGATCAGTGTAACATAATTATATGTACCCCGGGACGTTTACTTCAACATATGGACGAGAACCCATTATTTGATTGTATAAATATGCAGGTAATCATTAAATAATTTCTTTATGCTAAAACTTCAGAGTATATTTTGAAAAAAATTATATCAAACATATAGTGGATTGTGTAGAAAATTTTCTATTTTGATATTTGTTTTATTTTTAGAAAACATATTTAGAAAATTTTCTAATCAACTCAATATATTGTTTCCTTGAACAGAATATTCAAGATTTAAAAAACTCTACAGTCTTAAATGTCAAATTAACTGAATTTATTATTATACATTATTAATTGCAATGTGAAATAACAAAAACTACATGAGGATGTGTTAAATTGTAGATATTAGTATTAGATGAAGCAGATCGTTGTTTAGACATGGGTTTTGAGAGGACTATGAATTCCATTATTGAAAATTTACCATCTAAAAGGCAGACCTTGCTCTTTTCAGCAACTCAAACAAAGTATGTATTAAAAGATAATTACGCAGAATTATCTCATGTTTATATTATATTATTGTATTTTATATTTTTAATAGATCCGTAAAAGATCTAGCCAGATTAAGCCTTAAGGATCCATTGTATGTGTCTGTGCATGAGCATTCTGCGCATACTACACCAGAAAGTCTTCAACAGAGTTATATTACATGTTCCTTAGAAGATAAAATAGCAATGCTGTGGTCCTTCATACGAAATCATCTGAAGCAAAAGATCATTGTATTCTTTTCAAGTTGCAAACAAGTAATTTATTTTTTAATCTTATTTGTTGAAATCTAGTGTAATCTTTAATTTATTAATCAAAAAAACATTTTTATAGGTGAAATACATGTATGAAGCTTTTTGCCGATTGCGTCCCGGCGTCAGTTTATTAGCTCTTTACGGCACGCTTCATCAATTAAGAAGGATGAGCATTTATGAATCATTTTGCAAAAAGCAACACGCTGTCTTATTTGCTACTGATATTGCAGCCCGTGGATTAGGTGACTAAATCTTGTTAGCTGAAATATTATTTCGAATATTCGTCATTTAATTTTTTCTATCGTGAAAATAAAAATTTGCTTTAATTCATTAAATTATTAAATCAAATAATTTGTTGTTATTTTGTAGATTTTCCTGCTATAAACTGGGTGGTTCAAATGGATTGTCCGGAAGATGTCAATGCCTACATACACAGAGCAGGCAGAACTGCCAGATTCAAAAGTAACGGTGAATCTCTCTTGGTTTTGTTACCGTCTGAAGAAACGATGGTGGAGAGACTTAAACAGCGTAAAATCCCGATAAATATGATAAAGTAATATTTATTATGCATAAATAATCTTTTATTTACATTTTTACATTTGTTTTATATTTGTATTTACATCTATGATTTGCTTATTTTTCTATTTAGGATTAATCCAAGTAAACTGCAATCGCCGCATCGTAAACTCGAAGCTTTACTAGCGCGAGACGTAACTTTAAAAGAAACAGCTCAGAGAGCCTTTGTAGCCTATGTTAAATCAGTTTTTCTAATGAAGGATAAAGAAATCTTCAACGTGCATGCTTTAAACACAGATGCCTATGCAAAGTAAGCGCAGATTTCAAGAAGTCGTTCAACGTATATATATATTGGACATTTTTCACATTTATCTTTTTATAGGTCGTTAGGTTTGGCTTTTTCTCCGAGAATCCGATTTTTACAAAAAATGCAGAAGCAAATGGCAATTAATAATAATGTTAAAACTGAAAGAGAGACAGATAAAGTTTCAATTGATTCATCAAATGATAGTGAACAGGAAGATAATGGAAATAACTCTGACAAAAATGATATTCTCGACATTCCTGATATTAAGAATAGTGAAACAAAGAATACAATTAAAAATACTGCTGTTCTTCAATTTGGTAAGAAAATTAAAGAATCTTTTTTTATTTACATCAAACTAATGCTATTTCTTAAAATGTACATTTTCTTTACTGAAATCTTATATTTTAGAAAACGAAATCTAGAATTCTAATTCTTTAAAATATAAGATTCTAATACATCATTTATCACTTTTAACATTTAATATTAAAATGTACATTTTATTCATTTTTATGCCTCACAATCTGATACTATGTCATTTGATAAGCTTAGAACTTTATTGCATTAAAATCTTAAAAGATTATAATTTATACGCCCAGTCCTATGTATAAAAGAAGCACGTTTAATCAACTTTATGTGATTTGATTTTTTTACAGACGATAGTGACGATGATGATATATTAACTATAAAGAGAAAAAATATAGATGTCGATGATATACCAATCATGGAGAATGATGACAAGAGGAACAAAAAGAAACCCCTTACGAAAGTTGCACTAGCCAAGAAGATTCTTAAAAAGAAGATTATACCTAACAAAAAGATCATGTTTAATGATGAAGGACAAGTGAGAATTATATATTATATTAAACGTAGCATAAAAACACACGCGCGCGCGCGTCCTATGCTTTATGTATAGTTTTGTAGATTGTTAAGTTGAGAATTTGCTTGATACATTAATTAGCATATTTTCATGTTAAAAGTAACAAAAGCTGTATCACAGAGCTATTGAACTTTAAGGGACTGTAGGCTTTTTTTTAAATCAAAATTTTACTCTTGGAAAATATATCACACTTTGCTTTTCTGTTTTCCTACGTTTCTTGTTCAATTGCTCGCTTGTTCGCTCACATAACAATACAAATTAGATAGCTTTTGAACCGGAGACTAATGGCAAATGTTTTTATTCCAGGAATTAATCGATTCTGCTAAAGTGAAAATGTCGGAATTAGCTCGGGAATACGAGAACGAAGTTGATTCTGGCATTAATATCGAAATAGCCAAACAAGTCTTACGTGAGGAGGATCAATTCGATAAACAAAGATTCAGGGCGAAGATTAGAGAAAAACATAAAGAAGAGAAGAGAAAACTGAAGGCCGCCAAAAAAGCGGAGGCAAGTGAAGAGGAGGAAGATGCGGACGATGAAGAAATGGAAAACGCGAACAATGACGATATCAGCGATGGTGAATCTAGCGATGGTCCAGATCTCTCATGGTTACCTGATCCGGATAAAATATATGGCAAACAACGAAATACAGATGACGAAGCGTCGTCCGCTAGTGAGTTCGAAGAAAAGTCTGAAGAAGAAAGTACAGTTCACAGGTAAAGTCTCATTTGTGTTTAAGTTTACTTTTTCATTTTTTGCAAAGAGCTGAATAACTTCTAAAACTATTCTTTTTAATAGTATGGACAATTGTTTTTGTTCGTGTTTTTGTATTTGTAAACCTAAGCAATGTCACGGTTTGCTGTCTTATTTCTGTAATTTTACTATCGATCGACGGATAGGAATCATCTCTTACCCGGCTGTGTACCACTTTGAGTATTGCAAACACATTGCTTTTCTAATTCAAATAAGATATAATAAATATTCAGTACATATTTGTTATGCTTCTCGTGACATTGTTTAGTGTTTTATATAATGATTGACAATGAGTAAGAATTTGAAGAATTCGTCTTGTAAACTGCTCCAATTGTAAATAATTTCAAAATTCTCAATCTTCATGATTGTCTGTTATAGATCATCCAAGAGAAAATTGGTAACACAAGAGAACAAGATAAGAAAGAAGCAGAAAGTATCGGATGTTGACAATTTACAGGCCGATGAGGAATTAGCTCTGCAATTGTTACAGAATTGAATTCAAGTGTATGAAATTTATAAATGTAAATTTTTTTGAATTTTATTTAAGAACATAGCGTAATTTTGCGCAATATGTACATTTTACAATGTAACACGGTTCATTTCAATAATAAAATGTGATTTTACAATGTTTCCAAAGTTTAATCCGATTAGATAGAATACTAAGACGACATGTACATAACTATTTGTAAAGTTTAATAAATTATGATCATATTTTTTTCAAAATTTAATATTTTTGTCAATGGTAAAACAGTAAAACGTAATACGTATTTCACATTGCGTATAAATTATTATTACGATAAATTATAACATTTGGTATTTATAGGAACTGCTACTATTATAATGTACATTATATTTTATAAAATTCGAATTATCGCATAAGTCGATAGCATATATTACAGAGGACAATTGTGATCTAGCGAGAAAATTGGAATCCGTCCAAGTATAATTCCGTAACAATTTTGTGCGAAGTATTGTTGGCTGAAAGACAAAATCTAGAGATTTCATTGCCACGTGTATTATCAGAACATTGCTTAGTTGAAACTGTCCTAGCTAACTTAATGTACATATTCCTTTACACTATATCTCACTAAAAATCACACAAGATTCTTAGAATCTGAACTTGCCATTTTCCGCGAACAGGCTGCTACAAGCGATTTCGCTTAAAAGTTATTCAGTCTTTAAGCGGTTGCGATCTTAATGTGCTTCAAAATGTTGTCAATTACATCCCTGCTGGTTGCGGTACCGCCAAGATCACGCGTATGCACACCTTGATTAATAGTCTTGTTGATCGCATTCTGGATGATAGCAGCATGATGCTTATTGCCAAGATGACGAAGCATGTCAACCGCGGCATTCAGCATCGCGATCGGATTTGCAATATTCTTGCCGGCAATGCTTGTGCCAGTATTACGCGTGCCTGGTTCAAAGATCGTGTAGTGGTCGCCATAGTTTTTGCCAGCCAAAAGACCAGCACCACCCAACAAGCCGCACACCACGTTGGACACAATTGCGCCATACAGATTGGTGGTCAGTACCACATCAAACTGATGTGGATTTGACACCAGTTGCATGCAGGTGTTATCAATAATCATATCGTTATGGATAATATCTGGGTAATCCTTGGCGACTTGTCGCGAGGTCTCCAGAAACAGCCCATCCGATAGTTTCATAATGTTTGCCTTGTGGACAGTTGTGACCTTCTTTCGGCCATTTCGTTTCGCATATTCAAATGCATAGCGAGCAACACGCTCTGAATTTGAGGCTGTGATCACTTTCATGCTCTCGATCACACCGCTCACACTCTCATGCTCCAACATAGAATACTCGCCTTCAGTGTTCTGTCTCACAATGACAATATCAATGTTTTTTTGACGGGAATTTACACCTGGATACGACACGCAGTGTAAAACATTCACATAGAGATCCAACTCGTTTCGAAGAGCAACGTTTCTCGAAAAAACATCGGTTTCTGTGCTGTGTGTTTCTATGTTTCCCTTTAATGCTACTCCATTCCTGCGTATTGATGTGATGGCATAATCCAAGTCGTTATTGTCGTCCGCATTGGGATCAATTTCCACATCCTCAAAGTCTACTGGCACACCAGCATATTTAAAGACCTAATTGAGCATACATAATTGACTTATATAATAACATTTATATATCACTTTGATTAAATTATAAACTTTGTTTCAATATCACCCTCTCAAATGTATAGTTGAAGGAGGTTAATATCTGAAGCGATCTTATGCTGTCGAAAGCTAGTAGTTCAAGGATAATATTTAAATACCTCTTTAACGTAAGACATCAACTCTGGTCCGATTCCAGCTCCAGGCAACATGGTAACCGCATGCCTGCCACCGTAATGGGCTTTTGGTATGGCCATCACCTTCTTGATAGTGGGAGTCTTGTGTTGGATATCAAAACTGGATTGAGAGGCGCATCGGTAATTTTGCAGCAGCACGGATTTTGGTTTTAGATACCTGACAACCGCGCGGGCAGCCATCTCGACCTATTATCACATTGCAAGCATCAAGTTTAATCACTAGCGAATTACTCGTAACACAGAAAAAACAAGTTGTTCAATATGTATCTATTACCTTCTCGAATGCTACTTTATTGTGAATAATAAACTCGAAACACCTTAAAGATCATGGAAAACCTTACCGAGCAACGCTGAGCAACGTGTTAAATACAGCGGCCAACGTTGTTCGACAGAAACGAAAACTTGCTTTTCACACATGCGTGTCATCAATTATGCGTTTATGTAAGATTCACATCCCGTTAGATCCATGCACAATAAAGAAAATATTAGGAATAGGCATAAGCATTAAATATTAGGAAGAGCAATTTGGAATTATTTTACTTCAAACAAAGAAACGGAATGGACCAATTATTTCTAATTCTTATTTCCCAATTCATGATCAGTTAATCCATCTCATTCTCTTGTTTTAAAATGAAATTCCAATTTTCTATTCCTAAGGCTCAATGCACAACGGAGAAAATATAGGAATAGGAATAAATATTAAGAAAAAGAAATTAAAATTATTTCATTTCAGAATAAGAAAATGGGAAGTATTAATGTATTATAAGTAAAAAATTAAGAATTAGGAATAATTAATATATTTCGTTCCTTTGTTTGAAGTAAAATAATTCCAAAAATTGCTTTTCCTAATATTTAATATTTATTTCTATTTCTAATATTTTTTCTATTGTGTTTTATTTACACACGTAGAAAAAAAGAACTATATTATAAGACATCATGCATGCTCAAAGTGACTAACTGTGTGCAAGGCACCAGTCGCGCTTCTCTAAAAGAATTAATAAAATTATTTTTTTAAATTTAGTTTGTTATAAATAATAAATAGTACATTTTAAAAGTTTACAAATCATGGTGTAAAATAAAAATTAATGATGAACAAGTTAACATATGATTATTTGACTTTTTTAATAATTTTCTCAAAAGTTTAATATATTTATACATTATGCATTATATTTAATTATAACAAAGCTTATAATATACTGCGCATTATTTATTTAAATTGTAAAATAATATTGTGAATGCAGGTGAAGCAAAACAATTGATTACAAAGCTGAGATTTATTTTAATTAATAATAACTTTAAAATAATATTTTTCTCTATGTAATTATAAGAATTAGAATCTTCCTTTCTTCACGCAAGCTTTTGCTCTTTCCCTCATGAATGTATATCGCATATACAGTTCAATATTAATTTCTATATTTTTGAAATTGTATGTGTGTACCTTACAAGAATGTAGTGTTGATTTTTCGTAAATCAATTAAATCGAGACACAATATCTGCCGGTGGGAATATTAAAGATACATACAATCAAGTGATTGAACTCTATATACTTGATATTTATATACTTTGACGTATGTACAAATAAGTGTTTATTCGTTACGTTTACTTTTCTACACGTCTCAGTAAAAAAGTCATTGGAGCATTTAACGTTAAAAGTAGCCGCGAAGATTTACTATAAAATTGAATTTTTCATTGGTGAAATTTTAATGTAGTCACAGGTATCGGAGTACATAGTGTATAAATAAATAGCAACAAGGAGATGTTCAAACAATTCAGTTCACTCTGTCCTTCTCGTTTAACAATAATGTTTTTAGTTCTCATCGTGTTACGTTAATCGAAGGAAACGTAATGCATAATATCAGTTCTAAACTATCGATTTGATTTGCTTGTATTATATTTTTTTATAATTTGTCTCTTTATTATCCGATAACATTAGGTTTATGACATAAACATATTGTAAAATTACAGCTAATTAAACTTTAGTTAGTTAAACTCAACTATTAGCTGTAAGATTACAAGAAAAATTATAACCTGTGTTCGTACATACATTCATCTATAAGGCAAGAAAAGAATGTAATTATTACATATAGCCGCAGATTTACAATACGACTTTGAATATAAAATTTTTCAAGCATTTCATTACGTTTCATTCAAAGGCATTCGTATACAGATTCCAACATTGCAATATTATCGACATTATCATTAAATAACATTTACTGTATCTAAATTTAATAATAAAAATACCTAAATCACAATGTCACGCATTCAATTCATGGCTACGATGGCTTTCCAGTCTATCTTGTATCTTTGTCATTTTGCCAAAACGAGGGACAGTTCGAGAATATAGATAATTTAGAGAGAAAGAGAGAGAGAGAGATCACAGTGACAAAAATTATAATTCCTTAACATTATGTTCGCATAACAAAGCTATTTGTGTACACAACATGCAATTCTTAGAAAACTGTTAAGTAATTTAGCATCATTCGGCTTTCAATGGCGGAGAACGTTTATCTTTTGATTGAAATTCGCTTTCTTTAAGTCGATGTCATTGTTCATAAATTTTTTAAGCGTTAACCAAAATACGAAAATGCGAAAAAGAAAAAAAAAATGTATATTTACATTATATAAACAAATATTGTGTGAGTTTAAAACATTTCAGGATATGAATTACTTCTTCAAGTTTTGTCAATGCGAGCTTATCCGTAAAATTTCTTTCGACTCATCTTCATGTATAGCAGTATTAAACAGCGATAAACACAAATTCCACTTTAAATATGTAGTAACAATCCCTGATAGTAGAAAAAACTGGTAATTATCGAATCCAATAATGATGCGGAGATACATACTCAACAAGTTTGTGGATAATAATATATGAAACACTTAAATATATCTGCATGTGTATAGCTAGGCTGGAGCGAACGTTTTATAGGTATCATCTAATTACCTAAAAATCTCTGTGATTTCCCCGGAAGATTGATTAACGCGGGTGTTTATTATCTTTTTTTTTTATTTGTTACGGATGTTAAAAATTCAACTTAGCGCGCAACTGAGTGCCTTATGAAGCGCTTGTTGCTGATCTGTTGTTAATTCCATAATAGTTGCTTGGAACATAGTCTCGTTGTTCTGAAAAGAAACAACGTTATTTTTGTCACTCGTTATAAGAAAACCTAATCTAACAATAAATAGACCAACATAAAACATGATATAATAATAAATAGAAACTGGAATTATCTACCCACCTGTATTTCTCTAACAATGCTAAGAATTCTGGACATAACAGGATGGTCAGTAGGCACAGCTTCTCTGAACAATGCTTCCGCAAAGAAACTTATAAGCCGAGGCAAATGCGCATTATTTGTTCCTAAAACTACTGCATGGTTTGCTTCGATCAAATCACACAAATATCCATACACGTGAGGCGCTTCATCTTCATCTTCGACAACCGGTAACCAAGTTAACCTATAAAAAAAAAAAGAAGCGGTCGGTAGTTAATTTCATTAAATATAACAAATTGTTTATTGATACTCACCAGTGTGGAAGTATCTCATCAACGTTGATCGCTTTGTTATTATACTTGAGAATTTTGGTTACTGCCGAAATAGCATTTTCAGTAGGGTTTACGTTCTCCGGCGATCTAGATTCAGGATCATTAATAACCTCCATGAGTTTTGGCAAAGCTTCTGCACATGCCTGCGCAAAAGCCTCCCCGCCAAACTGGCCCAAAACTCCACAACCGTAAGCTGCTGCTTGTCTAACTTCCGCAGATTTATCAGAGACGTATTGAATCATGGGTCGCAGGAAAAAATCTTGATATTTCGCACACTCAGGTCCTCCGAATTCTATTACATCGTCAAAGACACATAGAGCCCATTGGTGATCCGACCATGATCTTTCAGGACTCAGTAATTTCACGAAATGTCCATATATCTGATCAAAGTACAGGAAAAATGTAGACTTGTAAGCTGAGAATAAGGCATGCAAAATATCGGCAATCTTGCTGAGCGTATATATGTCTTCATTGTCTTCGTCAACAAGCTGTTCTTCAACGACCTAATTTGATAAAAAGAAAAAAAAGAAAAACAATTATATTAATATACAGAAGTTTATGAAAATTGTATCGAGAATTTTACGATTGAGCTTTGCGATACCTCATCATAATCTTCATCTTTTCGTTTCTCTAATCTAGCAACTGCTCTTTCAAAGTGTTCGTTAAGTAATTTATCTAAAAGTCGTAAAAGTTCAGTCATATGCGGTGCACTCAAACAACCTGCTCCCAGGGTCTCGATGCATTTCGCGAAAGAAGATAACAGCTCCATCAGCACTTCGGATTCTGGTTCTGTATCAATAGCTTTCAACAAATCTGGACAGATATATGCCCACATGCCTTCCAGATACTGTAAGCCTATAAATATTAACATTATAATGAATGTAATTCATGAATTAGCGATGGAAAAAAGATCTATGCATTCAATAAAAATATTATTTAGTTACCTTTTATTTTCGCACAGTCAAGAAGGTACGGCAGACTCGCCGCAGCTGCAGTTCTGACACCGTCGTGGAAATAAAATTTCAACATCGGCACCATTAATCGCACTACTTCCTCGGCATAATCTGCGAAACCTTCTTTCAATTCACGTGCGTAACAAACCAACATTTCGCACGCGGAAGCTTTATCCTCCAAACCAGCTGTTTTAATTCCAAAGTTTTGCTGCTCCCCTAACGAAACAAACTGCCAGTCAAGATCACCTTCAATACCTTCCATGTCTTCATTATCGAGTAATGCGACTTCGGGTTTCATAGCGGCTGTTCGTAATACAGGTCCCATCACTAACGGTAAGTACTGTTCGAATTGTTTTCCTGTGAAAAGATGTACATGCCGTTAAAGAATGGCGTAGTCACAAAGTATCCCTGCAGTATGAACACAAATTCAGGCATTAGAACTGTGTAGATTTATACGTCATCTTACCAAGTATTTTACAAATCCTGGCCCAAGCAGAGATGAGATAATTGTTTTGCGGATCGTCATCTGGAAGTTCACCTTCTGTATGCGTTTTCAGTAACATGTCCATAACTTCGCTGGCATCGGCAATAAACTGTTACAATTGAAATAATATAAGCTCCTTTTCCAGAAAAGAAAATGAAAATAGAATAATCACCTTTTCTGGGCCAACAGCTAGACCTATAAGACTGACACATTCAATAGTCTTCCCGCGTAATAATTTGTGTTCCTGTTGATTCGCATTTTGTATAATATACTTTAAACATGGCATTAGTCTGTCATAATAAGTTACGAATTGTTCTTCACAAGTATCGGCGACAGAGGCAATCGTTGTAACAACCTGTAGAAGAAGCGACAAAAAATTTAAATTTATATATTTTTTTTCATAAACAAGTCATAAGTCTTTTTAGATTTATTACAATTCAACTCACTTGTTCGAGCACGAGCTTAGTTCCCTTTTCAACCAATTCTTGGAACTTAGCAGTCAATATAGATTCAAGTTTCGCCATTATAGCATCAAGATACGGTGTTAGAATATTCTTTGGGCAATCTTCACTGAAATTCACAAGAGCAGCACCAGCGTGGGCTTGAACTCTGGGATTTGCATTGTCGTCCAAAACCATTAATAATCCAGGGATAACTTTATCGTGGAATTTCTTTTCGAATATAGGCGAAAAATCTGTAGACATTTGCCCTACCGCATTGCAGGCGGCATATCTCACACGAGGATGCTAGAAAATAATCTTCTTAGTTTCTAATCTCCACATTTAGAAAAAAAGATAATCGAAGGGAAATTTTGTATGTTCCAAAACTATGATTGTTTAGTAATAAACAATCAACTCTCAGGAACCACAAAGAACAAATCTTGGCATCTGCATTATTGCCAAAACGGCAATGCAGCAAGAATTTGTATCATTTGTTTAATTTACCACAAATACATCGGTATTACATTGAAACAATGAGCGTAATACAGGAATGATTTATGGTTTCTAACAACACGTGTTTGCACAGAGGAGACAATGCGGGTAGTAGATGATATCAAGTGTCAGGTAAGATTAGGATTGAATTTGTCATTGTACTCACTGGGTCTTGTAGATATTGTATGACACCGTCCATTATTTGTGGTAACAGAGTTTCCATTTGCTTGTGACAGCCTTCACCAACAGCTGAAATAGCCATAAGTGCCGCATGCCTAAGCAATGAAAAATATATTCGTTAGTTTTCTTCAAACTATCCATACAAATTAAATTGCAATCAAGTTTAATACCCAATAAAAGAGAATAAAAAAGTAAACCATCATAAAATTTTACTAATTACAAAATATTAAATAAGCTGTATGTTTTAAGACTATGACAGTGATATACAACAACTGTCAACTTTCTTCTCAAACATCCAATGAGATTCTCAAATACCAATTACCAAAACGGCAGCTGGAAAAGAGTATTATCTCTTTGGTTACTCTATCACAGATGTAACGCAATTGCACAAGAATATGTAACTGCTGACTTTTCTGTGACGCTATACGATCGTATTTCAATATATAAAAAGCTAAATATATTGAGTATCAAGAAAGTTATAAATTGCAATGAAAAACAAACAAAAGTATCAAGATGTAGTAAAGATTTCATATAATATTCACCTATACTTCCAATCACTGTTATTTAACATGCTAGGGATGTTCTGCACAATTTGCGGCAGCATCGTTTTGCCTCCCAGACCGCACGCCAATCTATCCAAAGCACTTTCCGCAACTACGTTATTACTGTCGTTATCTTCTTCAATGATTTCATCGGAAAAGCTCCATTTCTCATCTTCTTCTAAATCAGTCATCATCTTCAGTACCAATGGTACTAAAGACGCGACATACTTTCCACCGACTTTGCGTACCATTGCTGGCGCAGTTTCCGCCAGTGTAACCAAAACTTCCAGCGCCAGCTGCCTCCATGAGTCAGGCATATCTTCATTGGAAAATACATTCATGCACATTTGCATTACAGTATCTAATTGTCCCCTGAGGAATTTTGGCGTGGTTTCAGCAAGGTCTATTAACACTTTTATAAGAGCATCATCGTCTTGTTTTTCTATAGATTGAGCGGTTACTTGTACAAGCGCTGGAACTAGCTCTGAGAAATGTTTGTGTATATTTTCCTCTTTGTCATGTAACGTGATAAATGCTCCGATTGCTCTTACTGCTTGAAATCTGACCTGTGTATGTTAAGAATAATTGCAACTATTATGATTACTCTTTTATCAAAAGAAAAATTTTTAATTATTTAAAACACTTTTTTCAACTTAAAATATCAAGAATGTAACTTCCATATAAAATGTATGCCCCGTATCTGTCTGTAAATTAGTACTTCACAAGTTACAGTCATCAGAAGGCACATTTTTTTTCTTGGAAGAATTACGTGACGAGTAATTTTATCTTGCCAAAACCCGTGTATCTATCTCCCATTAAAACAAATTAAAAACAAGCGTAATAAACTGCACGTTACCTCATAATTTGTCCCATCTAAAATGGATTGCTGCAACATTTGTTTTATAAGATCAAGATAATGTGCCTGTTGATTTCCAAATACACCTGGGACGGATCTGCAAATTTACATTCTTTTACTTTTTTAAATATTTTATTTATGCAAAATAAGTTTGAAAGAAACTTACGTAAACATGCGGAGTGCACTTTCTTTCAATGCTGGTAATGGACTATTCGCACATTGAAATAGGAACTGAAGAAATTCTGGCCATTGATTATTACCCTCTTCGTCTATTAAATTCCTGGCTACTTCAGCCGCCACTTCGCAGACTTTACGTCGTATAGTATCTGCTTGTTCATTCTGAACTGATAATAAGATTTGCTCCTTCAACTGAACTTGCGCCTCTAGTGGAATCTGAAATAATTACATACCAATTCTATTTTATCTGATTTTTGGGAGAAAAAAAGAAGAAAAAACTTCAACAAAAAATATTTTATACATGTAGGTAAAAAAGGAAATTTTAGCAAGTACCTTGGGATAGAATTCCATGAATTCGGAGGAGAATAACCGACGCAACAATACTGCAGCCATGGCTCGCATTTCTTCTGCAAGTGTGCCATTGCAAATGGTAGCTAAGAGATATGTCACCTTGCTTTCCACGGGCAGATTATTGTACGCTTCCTAAATGATTTCAAGCAATACAATTACTGTTAGTTACATATCAAAACTATTTAATTTTTCAAAATAGAACACAATAAAAATTGTTGGGAATCAAAATTTATAGAAACAACATTATATGAAAGATAATAGTGACAATCTTAAAAATATAAAAAATTGTAAAATACAAAAATCTGAAAAAGTAGGTGCTGTCTTTGTCCTGTTCTTGCATTATATATGCAAATCAAGAAGCATTTGCAATAAATATGTTTATATAGATGCTAACGTTAAAACTCTTTCCAACACTAAATTTACCGAGCTAAATCTGACTCATCTTACGAGTGCATATTGTAACCAACGCACGTATGAATATTCGGCGAATTACGCTCGACACGTGATCGGGTCGTGAGTCAAGGTAAAACATCTATATAGAATGTACAAAGGAACAATAAAATTGAGGAACTAGAAACGCCCTGCGACTATCGCATCTATCGGAAGTATCCAAATGAGCAGAAAAAAAACACGTGTAATTCTCGCTTTGCGGCGACCGCCGGAAATCGCGACCGAGCTCGAGTGTGGGCGGGAAAGCGAGATGCGTCCTGTAAATCATGCATGTTGCCGAATCGCGTGGCTCGCGTGCGTAAACGTAATTTTTTTCGCGTTGCAGGTTGCCGGAACTGAGTTTCATAACCAAACGGCGGAAAGCCACGAAACGCGCTTGTCGGTATCACACACCGGACATGCGACTGACGGATAACACGCCGCGTGCGAGACACCATTTTGGATTTCCTCGGGCGACCGCGCGAGTACTTGTCAGGGCACGAAAAATTCGCGACGTGGTATAAATTTTCCTCGCTCGCGCGTGGTGACCGACTTTCACAAGCCGGTCGACAATAGACATGTGTCGTAGGCGCGTTATCGGAATAACACCCACATGCAAGCTCCTGACAACACGCTAGCAACGTGCTCCACGCGAACGTGCTGCGGCGCGTCGTGAGTTACTGACGTGCCCAGCACACAACCGGCGGCCCTGCATGCTGCGTAATTTGCCAACGTTATACATACCTCCGCCTGCGTCCGAGCATCGTTATCTGTACTGAGGAGTGTAGTTAGAAGCTGTTGAAACTGCTCGAGATCTGCCGCCATTGTCGCCGAACGAATGAAGCTAACGCACACACTTGCCCGAGTGATCGTCGTTTGGCGTTGTCAATGCAGCAGGATAAAATGTCACTGTCACCTTACAGTGTCGCCAATATTGCCAATGTTACATTGCTTGGAAACCGGACCTAATGTAAAAAGTTGCTAGATGAATGGTACGCATGCGTAAAGAGTTGATGCATGCTGCGCGCTTATTTTAACATTAGATAACACTGAGATTAATCTAAACAATATTTAAATCAAGCAATTAATATAATTAACTAAATTGAAATGTAAATATAATTATGTAATATTATATTATTAAAAGGATACTGGAATTTCTTAATTTATTTTGCATTTTTTTAAGAAATATTATTTAATTTATAAGAACTATTTTTATGCATTCTTATTGCAAAAACTATTTTGGATCACTAAAATATTTTTATGTTTAGTTTAATAAACGATGTAATATAATTTTATATTTTTATAGAGAAAGTTGAATAATACATTGTAATTATAGTTACAGCAAATGATTAACTTCATTTCTTTCGCACGGTTTGTCAAAGACACTTTCTGGTGTGTATAAAAATTCAATTTCCGCATTGAATTTACTTTCGTTTACGTATTATAATCGAAATTACACGCTCGAATAAGTTGCAACTATAATATAAGAATCAATTATCGCGACGTTGACTTCAAGACTTTAGTCTTTCATCACAGAATTGCGTAATTGGCGTATAATCGTGTTTCTTTCGTAAAATGGCGATTGCTCCCAGCTATTCTTTGCCTTCATTTACCGGGTATGCTGGTCGACGTGCACATCATGATAGCAGGGAAAGGGAGAAAAAAGACGAAACGAGCTTGCGCCAGCGTTCCGTGATTACAGTGATTCTCCGCAATTAAAGTCTGTTTAATCGCAAGCCAGCACGTGGACTGCGTTCACGAAACGCAGTTCATTTGACTGTGCTGTGCAGCTCAACGCATCGCGTTTTATTCGTCATCAGCTGCTCTCGTTGTTTACTGTCATTACAAAGCATAAACACAGCGAAACTTCATTTGTAAAATATAACTTCGGAAACGTGTCGATTGAGAAGTATAAAAGCGAAATTCACATTCTGTGATAATTGGGATAAATTAAAAAATGTCTATCAAACATGTTACGTATGTAGAATAAGAAGTTACGGTTTTTATTTAAAGCACTGATAACGTTACATTAATCTCTATATAAATAAAAAACAGACGCGTGTATTATTGAGCTTTAAAGTAGATTAGATAATAATCATTAAGATTGCATTGTAGTCTTTTAAAAAACGATCTTTCTTATTTTAGCTGAGGAGTTTGTACCGATGCACTAATAAGAGATTAAATATAAAATAAAAGAAATCTACGAATCCAAGATTACAATAATAAAAAAATAAAATAATAAATTTGATTAGAAACAAAATTAATTAATCTCACCTGAAAAAGACGTGTCCTAATTTCAGATTACTCGCATGACGCGTGATGATATTTATATAAGATAATATATGTCCGGATAATTTAATCTGCGAAAATGCAAAATCACGAACTAAAGTTCGCATCGATGCATATCTCGTGTGCGAAGTCACAAAACAAAGAGGCCACCCATTGTAACATCTGTCGTTGCGACAATTCAATGTTTTTATACGCGCGTGACGTACACTGTTACACGCGATCAGTTGATTTATCACGCAAGATATTACAAAATATACGTCCGGACACGTTTTCATATCGAGTGCGCTTTTATCTGGCAGTGGATGGTGTATGTCGTGTGCGTAACGTAGTAAAAAAATTACATGTATTGCATAACTGAGCATAAAGCTATCACAAGCTGCAATTGCATACGCACGGTTATCGTAGTTTTTTTTTCAACTCGAGTTCAAAACTATTGTTAAACGAGATAATATTTGGTGCTATTCCGCCGTCAGATACGATTAGAGTTACACTTTAACGATACGATCTGATTTTATTTTATATTATAAAAGTTATTAGTTCAAAGCTTCAAAGAAATTGTATAATATTTTGATAAATATAAAATTATTACATAATAAAATAGAAAAAAGATAAGAGGAAGTCTTGATAAGGATTCTTATCGTTCAATGGAAGAATAGAAAATTTAATTGCATTGTATCTA